TCCGCTTTTGTCCCCACCCCAGGGGGACGAGAGACACCCTCCGTTAAGGATGGCATGCACCCTTTTCCTTTAGGGGAGATGCTCCACCCGGCCCCTCTCCCTTGAAGGCGCTCTGAACGTCCTGCAACCTCTTGCTTCAAGGTGCATGCAGCCCGCAGCATCAGCACTGCGGGAACTTCTTAGCTCTGCAGTCTCAGGCCTGCCGAGTCGGCGTCTGCATTTTAACACCATCTCCTGGCCATTACTCCGCGTGCACCTTGAGGACAGAAAAGCACTGGACTCCAGTTAAAGGTCTTGCCCACTGCGGACCCTCGGTGGCACCAGAGCCAATGTTGCCCCAGCCGTCCAAGATTTTTCCTATTGCTGTCAACGGGCTAAATTGAGACCCAAACAAAGTTTACTTCAGATTTCAGGATACATCCAAAAGTTGCCGGCTTTCCCATCCTGCAACCTAGGAAAAATAAATGGACTCAACAGCACATAATCCACCTCCCAATCTAAATGGGTATCTTATCAAACACCAGGGATACACTAAAACCTCCCCTCTCCTCCCTCAGCTCAACTGAACAGTACTTTGGGAAGGTTAAATATTCGCAATAATCCGGAGCTAAATATTTTTTTGTCGGCATGCCAGCGGAGATAACGTATGAATGGGAGAAATATTACCTGCTGCATAAAACCTGAACTCCTTACAAGGGTGGGATGTCCTCAAAAGCCCTTCACCAATGGGTCCCTACCTACCTCTCCAGTTCTAGCTCTTACTACTGACTTGGTTCATTTACCCATCGAGAATGCTCTCCATCTTACATTCTGATTATCTTAATTCTATCCAAACTTGGGAATTAGCTCAAATCTTGCAAGCCCAGAGTTCTCGCTACACTTATATCATACACACTGTAGCTCTTTTGGGCCCTTATGTTACCTTGTATTGCTCGGTATTTTTAAAGGTGTTATGGTCTAGTTTCTGAATGGATTACAAACACCTTGGGACCTTAAAGACCTACTCAGTGGTTATCAAAGTGTGGTCCCCACATCAGCAACATAAACATCACCTGCGAACTTGTGAGAAGTTTCATATTCTCCAGCTCCATCCCATATCTACTGCATTAGAAACTTGCGGGTAAGCCCAGCTATCGGAGTTTTAATAAGGCTTCCAAGTGATTCTAATGTTCACTCAAGTTTTAGAATTACTAACCTTCAGTGGTTGGCAAATTCATTAGTCAAAAGAGCCAAATATCAACAGTACAACGATTGAAATTTCTTTTGAGAGCCAAATTTTTTAAACTTAAACTATATAGGTAGTACATTGTTATTAACTTAATTAGGGTACTCCTACGGCTTAGGAAGAGCCACACTCAAGGGGCCAAAGAGCCACATGTGGCTCGCGAGCTGCAGTTTGCCAACCATGGACCTCCTAGAATATTGTCTCTACCCCCAAAGGAACTCAGTGGCAGGGTTTGATTTTGCTACTGGCAAGTTTTATTGCCTTTCAGATTAAGAACTAACCTGCTCAGTTCATGCATAATTAGTTGGAAAGCTGTGGCAATTGCTTTTGGAAGAATTATCTCTGATTTTCATAACGCTGTTTACATAGTAGGATGTTTGTTTGAAAATAAAGAAATACTACAGATAACTAGTCACTTTAGGGGAAGAGGAAATATATGAAGTTTTATCTCCTATAGTCAGGTAACTGAGTTACACTATGTTGCTCCCTTAGCCAACCCTTGTGACAGACAGTAATTGGTGGCCAATGATCTCAACAGGTGCCAAAATGAGAATTAGTGCACAGGCATGTGAATGCATAGGACAGTTGAAAGTATACATATTTTTCATGCCTTTTTTTCATGAGTTAATTTGTCTCTTTTCAGCCAAATCAATACTACAGAGAATTTTCTTTAAAAGGCATGGAAAGAGAGAAGTAGCAAGAAAAACATCCTGAAAATCATGAGCTTTATTAGCATGGGGAGTTAAGAAGTATAATCAAGGCTCTGTCCCTATCAATTCCTTATATTGAAGGTCAAGTTCTCTAGTTCTATCATTTCTGATAAACATGACTATATTGTATTGCCACTCATAGATGTAGACACCTGGTCATAATGAGAGAAGAAGGGAGATATAGCATCATGTAATCTTTTGGGGAGCTCTTCTATTTACTTGAGATGGAGAGAAGATATATGTCATGCACTATTTTTTCCCTCCACTATTCTAGTCTACTTCATGGCACTTGTGACTGATGGAAACATGATTATTAATCAAACTAATATTTATCTGGGAATTGAAACAATAGACAAGGACAAGTAGCACTGCTGCCACTGCCAACTTAGCTTCTCGACAAAGGGCATTTATGTGGATAAACTCAGCCAATGGCTGTGCTCTGTGCCGTGGCTGAGGAGGACTGGATTTCACCACAATTTCCAAAAGTGAGTGTAAGTACAGTCCAGAGTTTAATCAGTGCTGGCCAACAGCCCTTGGCAGCTTTGGGCGGATGGCGTTCTCCACCTGCCCATCTGGGTCCCATGCCCTACGCACCCACATTTGATGCACATTCATGATTTCTTGGTTGCTTACAGTCATCCCCTCCATCTGTTTGAGTGGCAGGGTGCCCATCCTTCCACAGTCTCTTATTATGATAGTGGTCCTTAGCCCCTTTTGGGTTACACATCTCTTTTAGCATCTGATGAAGGCTGTGGAACCTTTTCTTAACAAAACAAACACATGCACACACACAGTTATAGAAATTTGTACATATATGTGAAGCTCCACAAAATGTTCCATCTTCCCACATCTGCAGAGACCACAAAGAAGTCATGAATATCAGGTTAAGAACTTGCCCTAGGATGTGGAGAGCAGGTAAAATAAACTTTTTCCCCCTAAATGTCAAGGATAACTCTAAAAACCTACTGTGCACTTCGGAGACAGAACAAAAGCAATGCCAAGCAACGTGCTATGGGGGTGCTAAAGAAGCAGCTAGTGGGATTAGCAGGTGATTCAAGAGTGGCTTCATGGAGGAAAGTTCTTGCATCACGCAAGTGACAATAGCATTTTGAAAGGACAAAGGATCCCTCTACAGTGAGGGATAGTGTAAGCAAACGCATGGAGACGTGAAAGTACAATGGTCCATCGAGTGTGGCTCAAATGCAGATTACATGGAAAGATAGAGAAGGGCATGGGAAGGTAGAACAGAATCCAATCAGGTGAGCTTCAAATACAATGCTATTTTCAATGAGGAGCCATTAAGCTTTTGGAGTAGGGTAATCTAATGTAGAAAGACAGTGAGGGCAGTAGCAACCCTAAAAAGCTGAGACCAAGCCACTTGGCTTCACCAACAGGTTCCAATTTAGGGTATTAATAACCTTTCCAAACGCCTTCCACTCTGTCTGATGATGCTACTGCCCTCGCTGTATCCAGGTGAATGACCAGGTGAGTTTAGAGTCCAGGACCCTAAAGAGTTAAAATCTGTTTGGAACGGAAAGAATGGCAATAGCTTGGACTGAAAAGAGAAAAAAAGCCTTGCCACTGATCTTGGGCTGGGAGAATACACACAGATAAAGCCAGCTGCAAAGTTCATAGAAAACACTTTCACCAGGTAATGCAGCAGTTCTACGTTTCACAATGACCCTCTCTTGGGGTGATTACTGACCAATGATGCCACAGGCTGCTTGCTATTTTCATTCATTACTAGGGATTCCCAATTTCTCAGCCACCTTCACCTCATGACAGCACCCAGTTCCTAGTTAATTCCTTCTGTTTCGAATCCCAACTCAAAAAAACTGATCTCTCCTTCACGTAAATTACCTTCAGAATCCTTCAGTGGGAGCCCGAATCACAAAAGATGACTTGCTCCTCATGCTTTGTCAATGGCACTCCTCCGGAAGTGCCCTCCCGCCTTGCAAGGCAATAAGTTTTATTTTATCAGGCGACAGGCTTGCTCCTGGTAGTCTTTGGCTGATTAAGTTTTGACTACCCATTTGATAATGAGAGCCGCCCATAGTCAGGATTCAAAGTCAAGGTTCTTCAGGAAAGAGGTCTCCCTTTCTGTGTCAATGGCACAATAAAGTAGCTGCCATTCTCAGCAATGAGTCTCAGCCGTTTCACTCTTCCAAAATGGGAAGAAGTGATGCTATGGGCAGGTCACCCTGATTCCTCAGCCTTTGGAGAAATGTGTATGAAGTTCTAAGGCAGAAGGGAAAAGTGCTCTTAAAAGCTATTTTTGTAGCAACTTTACAGCATAAATATCTTTCAGACAAAAAACAAACAAACTATATAACCAAAGACAGGGAACTTGAAAAACAAAACTTGACCCTTTGAGGGAAAATAACACTATAATTTCTTTATGTTCTGTTCAAAACTCAGTGGACTATTAAAGCTCAAAAATAATACACGTATATATTTATCACAATGTTTTCTCACCAGTTAAATGCCATGACAGCCAAATGGTAGGACTAAATGCAAAGTAACACTTTTCTATGAAAC